CTTGGGGTTTACCGTCCTCAATCCGTCTTTACTCTTTCTTACCTTTTCTCTTCTAGTATTTTTCCATTTTGTAAAACCTTATTTTTCTATCAAAGTGGGTATCAACATCTTAGGGCATTTGGTTGTCGTGCGATATGTGCCAAAAAAAAAATGTGGATTTAGTAATTCCTTTTTGAATGAAACATGGATTTAGCTTCTTTTGGAATTGAATGGATTTAGCTCCTTTTGGAATGAAACTGTAATAATGTTGTTTACTTTCTTTTCGAAAGGTTATATTTATGTGTGATTTCACTATTATTATTTAAAAGGAAAGGTTTGCTGCTAAATTTGAATAAAATTTCAGTGACTTTATTGAGAAAATATGATTTATTTTTTATTTTTTAGGTACAATAACATGTTTCATTCCAAAAGGAGCTAAATCCACGAAAATAAAAAATAAAAAAATTTAGTAAACATCAGAAAAGCCGAAGGGAAGATTTTTTTTTATCATTATTGGCAGATAATCAGGTCCATGCAGGGTGACACCTTTAACATATATAACAACATGAAGGTATACATGGCTAAAGGGAAAGTGGAGAAATAAAAAAGGCAATTTACTCAGAAGTACCCAAAGTGGATTTGGCTCCTTTTGGAATGAAACTCTTCACATATTATAAAAGGAAGACAAGTAATATAAAAGGAAAAACGAAGGCCCACGTCATTTACATAGAAGGTAGGTGGACAGATAACCTCGATGTTTTTAATCTAATTTCATCTGGGAGATCATTCCACAGCTTTGTTCCTACAAACGAAATACAAAATTGCCCTTGCGTTGTCTCACATATTGGTTGATAGATAGAGTAAGCCACTTTCTTTACACTGTAGAAGTAATCAACTGGGTCATACGACGTACAATACATACACATACACTACTACTAGGTCGAGCGTACTCGCACTACATACACATACAGTATTCGCATATCGCGCTCAAAAACAATAGCGCTACCAGTACCACAGACCATGCAATTATGTGCAGGCCTCGCATACCATAATGTGTACAATATAAATCAGTCAGCGCGCTATAGACATGGTTCGGATATTACTTGCACGCCCATATCCGATCGTCGTCTTGGCGAAAATTCACGGTGTGCTGCCGCTTGACCGAGAGGTGGCGCTATACAATTACACTGAACACGCCTCGAAAGTAAAATTTTTGATAAATAAAATCATTTGCAGTCGAACAGGTTTTTTGCATATAAATTCACTCTAATGTAATATTTCGGATTTATATCTTCAATGATGCATTCTTAGACATTTATTGTATGTTTTTTATGTTTAGATCATAGTTTCGTTCGCTAATGTGAGTATTGACCAACACTCAACTATTCCTTTAATGCAAGTAAATGCATGAAATGGGGGATTATACGGTCCAAAATAGAAGGCAAATGTATATGTGGGCAAGATAATTATACACCTACTGCCTTGAAATTAAATATGCAAACAGATCTTCAACATTTTAAAGACTTCTCCAGACTACATTGTACATACAGCCTTTTCACACACAGCTAAAATTCATCGTATCTAGAGATGATTAGAATCACTCAACAGTTTTAAACATGTTTATAGACAAAATTTCCCAGTGTGAACATCGTTTATACGATGTTGGGATAGATACGAAGTCGCGATCCATACGCCCCTAAAAGCAGGCTGCAGATACGAAGTTCGTATCTAGAGAGCTTGACATTTTGTGTGTGAAAGGAAATTCGTGTTTAAACGTGTTTAAACTGGATGGAGCGTGCGCTTTGATTGACATGACATTACCTTCAATGCGCAATGGCACTACTGCGCATTTTACGAGCAGTAGTTAATCACGAAACTATTAACGATCGCAACGAAATTTCTGTGTGTGAAAGGCTCGTGATTAGTTTAAACACGTTCGAAACACGTTTATACTAGTCATGTTTACAGAATTTTAGCTGTGTGTGAAAAGGCTGATAGTGTAGCTTCCTTTCACTACCCCTCCTGTGTGAAAAATACAATTTAGAGTATCAAATAGGCCTACATTTAATTGAGCACGGCTAAAGTCATAACACGGTTCCTTGGGTTTTGGGAAGCCAGTTTTAATAATCAAGGACATGACTGATTCTGAAACACTTTTCATGTTATCATGCTCACACTTTTTGATTTTGTAACTATTTTGTTTTATTTAATTCATTTAATATTATTATCAGTATTATTATTTATTGTTTTTTTTAATTTGTTTAATTTTTAAATATATGTATATTTGTTGTTGGGGGAGGGGGAGGATGAGGAGGCAGTTCCATTTGCAAACATCTCTTGTAAAATGCGAAAGTGTGTAGTGACTCAGCAAGTGCTCATGTTATCAGATTTTGATGAAACCTTGTTTTAAAATGTCTACCTTTATGTATTTTTTCGGGGTTTATCTCAAATGTTTAAAATGAAGACTGGCAAAATTCCTCATTAATGCAATTGTCTTTATAAATAAAAGTCTTTTTTTTTCCTTCTCAAAAAGACCTGGTTCTGCAATGGGAAAAAGAATTCTTACAACGTAAAAAAGCAGCTAAATGGGCACGTTCTGATAAAATACCTAATGTTGTGTACATGGTAAGGGGCAATGGTACTGCATTCATCATGACAATTGAATTACAAATTGCCAACCATTTTGCTTTAATTAATCATGCACAGCAGGCTTTTTAAAGATCCTATCCAATGAAAATAAAACTTTATATCAATAGAAAGCTGAATTACAGTAGAATAACAAATATTTCCCTTTCAGTATTGCATATTGGCAAATTAAAACCTCATTTTCCGCACCCATCCAAATTACAGGTCAAACGAAAAGAATATAGTATAGTTTGGACGATCTAATCAAAAAGATATTCAACATATTGAATTCTTTTGCATTTTATGCGAAACTGAGATATGTACATTTGATAAGATTTGTGAGTGATACAGTACAAGGAAATGATACCTATGTATTGGGAAACTTTGAGATTTATATGTAAATATTTTCATAACTGTGATATTTCCTGATAGAGATCTATTCCTCGAAAATGTTCACCACAAAATATACCATTATCAAGTTCATTTAGCAACAAAAGTACTTTTCCAGATGGAAAGAGCTCATCATATTGCTAATCAAGGAATGATAGTGAGAGTTTAATTTTATTTTTTTATAGAAATCTGAGCGCTTATGCAAGGCATTCAAGCAAGTCATGAACAAACGGCACCTCTTGGCACCATAAGACCATGCATGCATGGACCAGTGTACTGTAGCTTGACTGCATGTGCTGTTTTCCCAAATACATCTTTAAAGTGTTATTACCTGTTTGGCATACATTCATGTTTTTAAAAAAAATCTGCCTTCATGTCTTGTCTTGTCCTAAAACACTCTTACATCTGAAAAGACGATTGGTACTACAAAATCAGAGAATTGCGTTGAAAAGAGCCATACTTAAGCTTTTCGTCTTTTACTCATCAGAACATAACGTAAGAATGAAACAGAAAGCCGAAATCGAACAATATAAACGGAAACTAAAAGGAACAAGGTGCGAATATAACAAGCTCTGATTGGCTGTCTAAGGTAACAGTAAATTAGGCTTATGGCCAGTGGGTATTGCCAGTGGGTTATATCGGGATAATCGCTAAAATAATACGAGCGTCTGAACAAACTCTTTCTGTCTGCATAGAAGAGGGTCAGTCAACTGAATGTGTGAGGTTTCGAGCATGCGCAGATGAGTAAAGTTTCTCACTCAGCAGAGAAATTTGAACCAAGATGAACAGTATTGTTCAGCAAGTGCTGAGCGATGTCAGAGTTGGCGTTGTCTGTCGTCTGGCCATTTCCCAGTTTGCATGAGCGCGGCGGTTGTGAACGCGTGCCGTTCTGGCGGTTTCAAATAAAGGAAGGCACATGCTGTTTTACTCGATCTGCCAGTCTCTGAGTTGTACGCCCTACATGTATGTACCGAGCTTTACATCGGCCAATTTTCAGACTCTTACATCTAAAAATCGTGACTGTATTTATTCTATCAAAGGGATAGTTGAGTTCTTTTTTCAGACTGCAAATGCCTTCTAAGTCAATGGTTATTACTCTTATTCTTATCTATAACATTTCTAGTACCCTTTTAGAACCTAAAATTGCTATGAAGGTAACTTTAGACTCCAAAATGTGTGAAATTTAGCCAATACGAGTATACCAATTCAGCTCCACTTTAAAAAAAACACATGTCCGTTAATTAAATATATAATTAAAAATAACAATACATGGGCCGGCTGGTTGTGCGTAATATAAGCAACACGAAAATGCCAACAAAAAAAACCAAATCGGCATTGGCTGAAATTCGACGTACATGTACATGTAAAAGGCATTATTTCTTTTTTTTCAACGGTTTTTTTCAAATTTTTCAAAATATCTAATATTTGTGGTGGTAAACAAGTATTAGAAATCATTGTATTTCAGCCGTCTCTGAACCAATTTTTGATCAAACAAAGATGATTTTGTCATTTAAATAATTATTATGTTCTTTCAAATTTGACACTCAGTTTTTCATTATCTCACAAAAAAAGTTATTTTGTGTAGTGCCCTCTGCAACAGAACTCAACTATTCCTTTAATTGCTTTGACAACCTTTAATCAAATTAATAAGGATGTTAGTGTTACCATTCAAAGCCCATCTGCAATAGTTTGGCCAGGGGGTTAGACCTCCCTGCAAGATCACTGACAGGTGGTTATCTCATCAAATCAGCTCACAATTAACCTGATGATGATGATAAACAGCATTTGTATGGCGCCATATATCTGTTTAAAAAAACATTCAAAGGCGCGAGCTCCTCCAATAAAATTAGCATTTAAATGTCTGACGGAGGAAAAGGGGATCATGGGGATCCAACAGGCACCGATTATGCATTTTATGCTATATAGAGGGCGCAAGTAGCTTTAAGTAGTGCAGTGGGGCTTTAACATGCCCTTGTTATGTCTGAACGTACGACTGAATATCTTACCTTCCGTGTGCCTCAAAGTCAAGTTCCACTTCTTGCAAGGCATCTACCGATCGTCTGGATCGTTCATGCTTAGCATGTAACTCATGAGTGTTGTAGCTAAGGAGTTCATAATGTCTGACATGGCGATTCAGTCTCTCACAATCTGATGGTAAAACATGCAAGAGAAATAATTTCATATTAACTGTTAACAGATGAAATGAAAATATTTTTTTTCTTTTTATTCAATCGAAATTTACTTCCTTTTTTCCTCTTTCATACTTTTTTTTTTAAGGAGTGTGTACAAAGGTCTGGTAATGGTATGTTAAACATCAAATGAAATTGGTTTCTAGTTTTCCCTTTTTTTCCTGCCAGCCCATTTTCTACTTCTTTCGTTATATTTTTGCTTTCTCACAAAATAGAGAAGAATCACATAACATCTATCTAGAGGAATGAGGTAAAAATCATTCAAGCATCTCTAAGGTGTTGGAAGCCCAAACATTGAATATTGATAAAAGAATACCAGATCTGCATAAAACACAAAACCCAAGTTTTGTATTCTTCCATCAATAGTCGTCTCTAAACACATTTGTTTTGAAAATCCTTGCACAGTTCAGTGTTAAATGACATCCTGTTTCACATCATTACACAATTTAATTGAAATGTTTGCCATCAAATTAAAAATCCCCAGGAAAAGATATTTTTAATAAATTGGGTTCAAATCTTTAACAATCATGAATTTGGTACGATTGCGGTGACCATACTTCATGTGTGACCTTAAAAAAATTCTCAAAAATCAGACACCACCAATGGAAAGATGAACTTAAAATTACCCAGACACTACATTTTCTATTGAATTTGAATTGGGTGTGAAATTATGACAATATTGACAAAAGATCAGCTCCGAAAAAATATGAAATCTTAAACAACGGTCTGGAAATCTTTATTTTGAGAGCAGAGGTCATCAAAATTGTTAGTAAAAAGTGGTAGGCCTACCAACTGATTGTAGACCTATGATACTTTGCCTGCAAAATATGCAGTTAGTTTCTAGATCTAGACCCTGTTTGATTGATTGCTTTTTGTGATACTGATAGATCAGCTGTAAAATTCTGTGCGCGAATAAAAAAAGGTCTCGTTTCTTTTAATGACTTTTTTCTGGAGTTGAAGCACAGTCCGATCCGACATCCACTTTGAGAGTTGTTGACCATAAAGAATGATAAATTGAATAGACCTCTCGACGTCTAGTTGCACCAATTTTTATTGGCTTTTGTTCAGAAACCTATCCAAAATTTGACCCGTAACTCCGGTGTGGAGATACCCTACTACAACATACCCAAAATGAAGTAAATATTCATTAAATGTCCACATAAAGATCATGAGTTAAAATTTGTTATGTTTATTACCTGTTTCGTGTCAATTTTGTTGTTATTTTTTGAGTATTTTTCGGATAAACGTTGATATTACTAGATTTAGTAGGCCTAGACTACTTTTTCACAGGTTTCACGGCAAACCGCTTAGACCAAAAGGCAATAGATTTGTGTAAATTATGAGAAATAATTAATGGATCGAATAGCAAATTTCCTTATGTTTTTTTTTAATCTCTGCAAACTTTGGTCACCCGATCATACACTTGAAGAATTTCAAGTAGAACTTGGCCAGTCTTTACAATTACATAGTCCCACACGCAAGTATTTACGCTTCTCTAACGTTAGATCTAGTCTCTCTAGAGTCTAGTTGCATTCACTAGTTATGTGCACATTCACATTGGCCAAGGAGTTATTTATACACGTATCGTGTAGGCTCTACACGTAAAAAAAAAAAGGTTGTTTATCATTCGTTGTACTCTTCATGTCTGTAGTCTACTCAGTTTTGGTCTAAAATTATATGGCATGGTTATCATAAAGATACAATTAGTAATTTTATACTTACGAGACACCCCAAATAGAAGGGTGAGCGTGAAAAGTATTTTCCCGTTCATTTGGAAAGTATGAAAAACTGCAATTTAAAAAAAATAAACACAAGCGATATTCGTCCGCTGATGTCGATCGTTCACCTGAGCTGCGGTAGATAAGCTACATGTAAGAATATGAGTGCTAGATGATCGGAGACGAGAAATAGCGTGTAACAGCTGAAGTTACCGTACCCCTCGATTTCTTGATCTCTCCCTCTAACCCACTCCCCCCCCCCCCCCCCCCCTCTCTCTCTCTCTCTCTCTCTTTACCTTTCTCTCTCTCTCTCTCTCTCTCTCTCTGTCTGTCTGTATCTCCCTCTCTCTCTCTCTTTCACTTTCTCTCACCCGATCACTCCCCCTTCGCTTTCGTTATTTTTTTCCCTTTCTTTTCTTTCTGTCTATATTTCACCTGTATTACTTTCCTGTCTCATTTAATTTCATTCTTCATCTCTGTAATCATTATCAATAATTTATTGAATTTTCCTCCCGGTACCCAACATAAACAAATCTTCTGTGTGCCCATGCCTTGAGCCATAATGCATGGTCGTACAGAGGATTTTTTTATGTTGGGGACCGGGGTAAAATTCAATGAATTAATGAAAAAAAAGTATTGCATTTTCTTTGTTGTTTTTTTATTTGTGGGAACTGCCCCCTACTAGCCCCCGCTGTGTACAGTCATGGTTCAGTGGCAAAGCAATGGCCTCGTAACTTTGAGGCCCCAGGATCAAAACCGTGTCGATGTGCCATATTAGTGCCCTTTTGTGGGACATTAATCCTCATTACTGTCATTTATATCTTAAAGGTACTCTTTTGCAGCCAACCTCACATGCTAGAACTTTGCAGGAATTCTGAATATGTCATGTAATTTGTCCTATCTGTGAAATTTAAACGTTAGCAGTGTCCTCATATTCAAATTATGCAAGGAAACCCGTTTACTTGCTAGACTTCACTCGGGCAGACTCTATTGAGTGACGTACTGACTGGCTTTTTTTTCTTCTTTGGTAATAACATACATGAAAAGAGTTGTAAAGGTACATGAGCATTTGTCAATAACCCACTTCTTGTGATGGCCAAGATTAAACTGATTGAATCTTTGCGCAGCATAAAACGTATGACCATTCGGTACAATTGTCTGAAAATCAAGACTATTACTTTTGGGCTCTATAGCCCAAAAGTCGATTTGACAACTAATAGTCGTTATTTTCCCACTTGAAGACATTTTCAAGCCCCATCTTTTTTAGGGAAGTTCTAAATTAGTATTATCTTTCAAATGCAGTTGGAATTTAACTTTTTCATTTTTTTTGCCTGCAAATGGGACATAATACTTTTAAGGGCGTAGGTCCCCTGGTTGATAAGCATAGTAGCATACACATGCTTTAGCAGTCACGCAAAACAAACACTGGCAAATTATAATATAATAAACCTGATAATGTATACTATTATCTAGATCAATTAGAATAAACCATTGTCAAAATAATTCCATAAATTGGGGTAAAAAAAAAATATTCCAACTATATGAGCGACAGTATATGCCTATACACTGTAAAAAAATAATAGTCGAAATAACTCAATAAAATTGAGGAAAATAATTGCCTTATTTTTATTAAGTGAATATTACCTACGGCATCTTAAGTAGAATTTACTTATTTTACTGAATTATTTTTACTCAGTTAAATCGAGTTACATTAACGTAAATAATTAAAGTATTGTAATAATTTTAGATAATTAAAAAAAGCTATGATGGGATTACATATTGCACGATTTGGTACCCATCTAATCTAACAAGTAACATCCCCTAATCATTAACACTACTTCTATTTAAGATTTAACCGTATATATATATCTACCACCATCACAAACTATTACATACGCTTCAATTCAACACATATTGAAAGGCTCCAAATTTTATATATACTTGATCGTAGCACTCTTAAAGGAAAATTGGTTGACAATTTCCTGAAATATCAAGTTTTGATTTGTTTTGAACTGGGTAACAATTAAAAATTGTCTTGTCTTTGCTTAGCCATGTTAAATGAATTAGTAAATGTTTCATTTCATAAAGTTATGATATAGATAAGTAATATTATATACCATTTGAAATATGAATATGCACCAATCTATGAAGACAGCTATAGAGCCTATAGAGGACAGTGTCGACGGGCGCGGGCGCATGCAGGCTTCATAATTATTAGCACTACGCACTTTAGCATTTTTAGCACTCGGCTTACACGCAGCATGCAGGGCATTCAGCCAGTTTTGTTTACGTCTGCAACCAAATAATCAGATTTCCAATAATTGAACGTTAAGATCACCAGCGCAGAGTATAGTAGAAAGGTGAGTCATTATAGTGACGTCATGATTACCCCTGCAAAAAAAGAAAAAGATAGATTCCGATATTGAAACCAGGATATAGCTTTGAATTCTTGGAACCACACCTACATATCATTTTTTTTCTCTCTCTCTCTACGTAAGATTAATATTGAAATATTTCGAAAGCGCTATTAAAAACGAATTATAACTGATTTTTATCAAATCGAATCAAACATTAATTTACTAGTAGTTTAATCTATCTAAGGAACATCTCCGATCGACGGGCATATTGCAGGGTTGAGGGGGAAGGGCAGTTTACAAGAGATAGCAGTATTTAGTAGAAGTAGAAGCAGGCGCGTACGCAGGGGGGGGGGGGGGGGGGGGGGGGTTGGGGTTAAAACCCCCCCCTTTGGAAATTTTTTGTGTGTAAACCCCCCTAAAAAAAAAAAACCCCCCCCCCCCCCCCCCCCCTTTTGGATTTTTTTTTTTTTTTTTTTTTTTTTTTTTTAATTATTAAAAAAAAAAAAAAAAAAAAAAAATTTATTCCCATGGCCGACCTAAAAAAGGTGACCTTAACCCCCCCCAACGGAGCAAAATGTCAAATTTCCAAATTTCGAGACCAAAAAAAAAAAAAAAGTGTCCTCTTACCCCCCCCCCCCCCCCCCCCCCCCCCCCCCCCCCCCCCCCCCCCCCCCCCCCCCCTCCCCCCCCCCCCCCTGCTTATTCAGCGGTCGGCTGAGTCGTTGCGATTTTTTTTGGGACCCAAAAAAAAAAAAAAGTGTGTCCTCTTACCCCCCCCCCCCCCCCCCCCCCCCCGCTTATTCTGCGGTCGGCTGAGCCGTTGCGATTTTTTTGGGACCAAAAAAAAAAAAAATGTGTCCTCTTACCCCCCCCCCCCCCCCCCCCCCCCCCCCCCCCCCCCCCCCCGCTTATTCTGCGGTCGGCTGAGCCGTTGCGATTTTTTTGGGACCAAAAAAAAAAAAAAATGTGTCCTCTTACCCCCCCCCCCCCCCCCCCCCCCCCCCCCCCCCTCCCCGCTTATTCAGCGGCTGGCTGAGTCGTTGCGAAATTTTCGGACCGATTTATAAATGTTAAACCCCCCCCCCCCCCCCCTTGAAAAAATCCTGCGTACGCGCCTGAGTAGAAGTAATGTCGACATAGCAGTGGTAGGAAAGAAAGGTTAGGTAAAGGTGTAAAGAATTATAGATGAAAATTGTTAGTCGAGTTAGGATAGGAGTAAAGTGGTAGTGAGGGGGAAGTAGATCGGCGTATACTAGAGAATGGCAGTAGAGGTAGGGTAAATAAAGAGGTTGGAGCGGTAGGAATTAGATAGCACCAGAGCTAGGCGGCGGAGCCGAGGGCATAGGGCACAGTGCCCCCACACTTTTTTCAAGTACCTCATACAGTGCCCCTTTTTACATAGGAAAGGTGCTCCCTTTTACTTCAGATAAGACTAGTGCCCCATTTTATTTATAATAGGTTCCCGTTCCACATTCCAATACGTGCCTCTTAGCACCTCTGATAAGTGCCCCCTTCACCTATGATAATTGCCCCTATAATCTGACAGGTGCTCATTTGACTCTGACAGGTGCCCTTTTCTTTTGTAATAAGTGCCCCTTCCCCTTCAGACAAGAATCCATATCATGCATCTTTGATGAATGCCACTTGTCATCTCTGATTAATGCCCCCTTTATTATGGCACGTGCCCCGGTTTTTTTTAAAAATAAGTGCCCTTTTTCCTTCAGATAAATGCCATTTTCTTATTTTAATAAGAGCCACTTAGCCTTCTGATAGATATCTCTATTGAGATCTCATAGGTGCCCTTTTCCCTTCGATTTTCCTTTGTGCCCCTCTAAATTCTCACAATTGCCCTTATTCATCTCAGGTGAGTGCCCCTTTCCAGGTACATGACGGGGAAGAGAGAATGTAGATGGGCACAAAGAAAAATCGAAGGGTAAAGGGCACCTATGAGATCTTAATAGAGATATCTATCAGAAGGGTAAGTGGCTCTTATTAAAATAAGAAAATGGCATTTATCTGAAGGAAAAAGGGCACTTATTTATTTAAAAAACCGGGGCATGTGTCATAATAAAGGTGGCATTAATCAGAGATGACAAGGGAAGTGCTCTTACAATCCTCTTAAAGGCCCACTGCACTACTTGAAGCTACTTGCGCCCTCTATATAACAAACAATGCCTAATCGGTGACCATTGGTCCCCCATGATCCTATTTTTCTTATGTTAACTGAGAGCTCAGTTGATGAGATAACCATCTGTCCAGTGACCTTGCAGGGCAGTCTAATCCCTCCTGTAAACTACGGAATGCAGATAAGCTTTAAAATTGCCTCGTTTCAAATCTGAAAGGTGTCTCTTATATTTTGACAAGTGCCTCTTTTCCTTTGGTATGCCCTTTTTTCATTCTTATAAGCGCGCTTTATTCAAATTTTAGAGGTACCCCCTTTAACTTTGTAATAAGTGCCCTTTTCATCTCCAAATATTAGCCCAAAGTTTGACCCGTGTCCCCCTTATCCATTCTAATTAGTGCCATTTTACTTCTGATAATTGCCCCTTTCCCTTTGTAATATTATTAAATGGATAATGACAAACTACTGGTTCATAGAATTACCTACCGAACTCAAATTGAAACAAAGGCCTGTTATTTTTCATATTTTACTGTGAGAATAGCTGCTGATAAAATACGTTTATCTTCTTTCCGATTCAATGATTATTTTAAATATGACCCAAACAAATCAATAAAGCACCGCACATTCTTTGTGAAGAGCGCCATCAATATGTATTAGGAGAAGTATATT